AGAAACAACAACTAAAAAAAAAAACAAATGATACCAATTCATCCCATCTTTACATATAAACACAGACACATCACAGAGTATGACGTGATAGTCCCGGGACATGAGGGTCAAGGACATCCAGGAGAGGAAGATAATCTGGGAGAAATCCATACCTAGAGGTGCGACAAGTCCTCAACCAGAGAGGATGCCGCCACAGACCACCCTGACCCAGGTGGACCGGGGTCAATTCACGATGTGCGGAGCCCCCAAGTTCCCTGGTTCCGGGGAGTCCACAGGATGGCATTACCACGGAAGGACCAAACGCACCTCTCTGAATGGAGGCTCCCATTTGAAATGATTCCATTCACGTCTTGATTCTTCATGAAAATTAATTTAATTAATTTAATTAATTAAAACTAATTTGGCCTTTTTGAAAAAGATAGTCACTCGAAGGCTCTGAAAAGTTGCTAAGTATAGCGACCGAATCGCTATGCGAGCAACACTACTTTTGTAGCGTAGCTGTTCATAGACATGTTGATAGTCTCAATCAAGTCAAGCAGTGCACATCAGCAGGTGTACGCTTTGAACGATGGAAGCTGCCATTAAAAGCCACTTTTTACAGAAAAAAAGAAAGTTGTTATGACATAAACTTGGATAAATCAATTAATCGCTTAGTTCTTGGCTGATGGGAGCTAGCGGAGCGGGTTAAATTCATAGGGAAATTGCTTAAACGGCTTCACTTCTCTCGAACAAGTATGGGAGTCCAGGTTAAAAGAAGTCAGTCATTTGGAACAGTACCAAATAGAGTTGTGAATGGAATAGATGATAATCCAGCGCCATAATTTTTCCCTGGTTGACAGCACACATGGTCCTACCTATCTCTACTTGCAAACAAAATCCTTCCACACGACTATATTCTTTGTCTCTTATCGGCATATCTTTTACATGTCACCCAAAATGTTCAGGCCAAGACATCACAGTCAGGCTGTCTGAATAAGCTGAACAACCTCATGTTCCTAAAACTCAAACTTTGATACAGGTTATTTGTTAGCACTTTAATTGGAAAAACGGTAGGCATATTTGAATGTTACGCAAAGTACTCATTTCTGCATTCCTTGAAATGTTTTTCTTCGCAAACTGACTGCTGGATCATTTCGCAAACTGACTGCTGGATGACGTTGTGTCCAGACTACCAAATTGGATACCTGCTCTTTTTGAGTTTTTATCAATTTTGTATTCTTGTTTGCTAAAACAGCTTCAATTGATTTGCGCCTCTCATTCAACACCCCTGCAGCCCAGATGAATCAGGGCATGACTCTTCTGGTGAAGACAACAGTGCATCATTGGACCATGGACGCGATAAGTTCACTCATGCCATTTGTGACCCAAGAGCGAAAGAGGACCAAGAGAAAGGACTTATCACAACAACTGCAGTGAGTTTCAATCACTGTCAAAATTTCCAGTCTAAAATGGAATCAAATCAAATCCACTCCAAAGCATAATAAGGTGATTCAGTGATTATTGTTGCTTTGCCAGGTTTTGTTTTACAGTGGATTCTTGAGTGTTTTGAGCAGTGTGCTGGAGGAAAGTTCTTCAACACTTTCAAGCCGTGATGATGAAGACAATGCCATCTTTGAAAAGGAGGTAACAATGGCAAAGTTGCTCATTTCATGATGTTGGGCTAACGTAAAAGTGCATTTCTTCTTCACCGTAGGATTCAAGAAGAACTGATGCAGATCTACTGGAGCAGCCACAAATGGACATATCTGCAGACCACAGTACTGACTCGGAGCAACAGGTACTGCATGTTTGGCAGGTTTGGTTACGGCAGCAGACGTCAAACTTCACACATTTGACAATTTATTTATTTTATTTTTTTGGGTCCACATCTTTAAAGCTCACCGGTGAGTCTTTGGACAGTTCTCCAGGCTCTGACTGTCAGCTAGGGATAGATGTCAAAGAAGATGAAGAGACTGAGGGTGGAAAAAGGTGTGTAGCTGTTTCGATGCGCTCTACTGAAATATGCTCATATTTATACTTAAGCGTTCATACAGAAGGACTGATTCCAAAGAATATATAGAGAAATTTTAAGTTAGTGGCAAAGTAATTTCGTTTTACCAATACTGGCGCGTGATCTAGCGCGTACTGCGGGGGCTTGTCTGGGATGCCAAAATCGGTGAAGGATACACCTTAAGTCTCAAATGACGCTAACCGTATGGGTACCTTGTGTTTTCCATGCTTAGAGAAGACGTATGGTTACCTAACATGTCACAGCCCGTCAGATTCTAAAAAAGCCAGCCTTGTGTGGGAAGAGGAGGCAGAAGAGTTTCATGGTTTTCACCGTACACCCCCGGATTTAAGAAAAGGGGGAAGGGTGGTAACATGGAAAACTTTTTAAGGGTTGTTGCAGCCAATGCCACCTTGTGGTATATCTTTTATGCCTTTACCAGCCTGAACAAATCGACAGAATGCAATTTTAATTTAATTTATCAAGCAAATATCGCACAATATTAGCTTGTTTTGTGAAACCACCTCCGTTAAATCGCCATCATCTTCCCTCTTTTCTCTGCAGCCTGGATGAGTCTGAATCTAGCTCTGCTGAAAAACGCCACCTTAGCCTTGAAACACACGGTCGTGACGACATTCAGATGCCTTCATCGAGTTCTTCAGGAGCTGAAAAAGACAAACAAGTACAGGAGGCTAACAAAACATGTGGGGTGAGTGGCTGTTAAATCTAATATCTAACACTGTATTATCTATGTGGAGACATGGATGCGAGCGCACACAAAAATACTTTAGCAGCACTAAAAGTGACATTGCAATGGCCAGGATCTTTATCAGGCTCCTGCAGAGCTTGCTGATGAGCTGATGCAGGAAAGTGGCCCTCGAGGACCGGCGTTTGACACTTAAGAGCTCAAGTGACAAGGAAACATTTAAAACACACGACACCATTTATCGTTTCAGTGATTGAACGATTGTATTTCTTTATTTATTTTGCACATGTAAATGAGTATTCACAGCCTTTGTCATTGAGCTTAAAATTGCGCTTCCAATGCATCCCGTTTTTACTGATCATCTGTGATTATTCTACACCTTATTTGTAGTTCACCTGTGATAAATTCAGTTGATTGGTGATGATGATTTAGGCACACAACATTCGACATACAAGGTCACACTGATGACAGTGCTTGTCAGAACACAACCCAAGCATGAAGTCAAAGGAATTGACAATAGATCTCAAAGGACAGGATTGTCCTGGGGCAAAAGCGTATTGAAATGTTTCAGCCGCTTTGAAGGTCCCAGTTGGCTTAGAGTCCCGTTATCTGTAAATTGAAGAAGTTCGGTACCACCAGGACTCTGCCTTGAACAAGCCATCCGCCTAACTTAAGTGACCGCAGAACAACCACAGTCACTGAGCTTAGCAAGAATGCTGCAGTCATACAGTCACAGCTCCAGCGTTCCTCCATACCATCCCTTCACTGAAGCATAGTGGTGACAGCATCGTGCCGTGCTGATATTTGTCAGCATCAGAAACTGAGAAACAAGTCAGGATTGATGGAAAAGATGAATGCGGCAATATACAGTCATCCTGTATAAAAATCTTCTCCAGAGCAACCCCAGACTGATTCAGACTGGGATGTCTTTCTGCAGGACAACAACACGAAGCACACAGCCAAAATAGCACAGGAGTGGCTTCACGACAACTCAATGAATGTCCTTGAACGGGTCAGCCAGAGATCAGCCTTGAATCTGATTCAACATCTCTGGCGAGATCTGAAAATTGCCATTTACTGACGCTCCCTATTCAACCTGATGGACGTTGAGAGGTGCTGTAAAGACAAGTGGACGACACTACCACAGATAGGTGTGCCAAACATCCATCCATCCATTTTCAACACCAACCCCAAACTGGTCACCTGTCAGTCGCAGGGCATGTACAAGAACAAACAACCATTCACACCCATATCCGTACTATCACTGTGTGGGAGCCGATCCCACGCTTCCCGCACGGAAATTGGGCGAATGTACCATTACACCATCAGCGACAGGCCATGCATCATATTAAAAAAAATATTTGATGTTGTAATTGCTGCAAAGCCTGTGAATACTTGTACATGTATGCGGGATTAATGCGATTAAAAAAAAAATACAGTAAATGAAAACGACATTTTCAAACTTAACTAAAACTGAATTCAACATGGAAAAAGTGAAGTACTGTGAATAATTCCCTTCACATGCTTATTGTATTGCACATGTATTTTGCGTTTCCTGCAATATCGTTTTGTGTTTGGGATGGTATCGTACTGACATCCATATGCCTTGAGTGTCTCCTGGTATCTTGTTGATTTGAAACTTGATTTTCAGTTTTACGTGTATTTTTCCCTTTTCCGTATCCCGTAGCCTCCATCAGAGTTTCATGGCTCTGATATTCGTGTTCGCCGTGATAGTCAGCTGGCAAGGGATGTCAAAGAAAGGGAGGATGAGAAGAAGGACGCTCTCAAGAGGTTTGTTGTTCACATGTTCATGGAATCTTGCTAGAATAATCGTTAACAATTAGAATAGCAGTGACTGTCTTGGTTTGTCTTTTTTTTTTTAAATAACACCCTATTTTGTTCACTGAAAAACCTCGACAGAAACATTCTTCTCCCTCACAATCGTCCGACTTTTCTTTGCAGCCAAGATAAATCTGGACACACGACCACTGCCAGAGATATCAACAGTCGTCAGTTGGACTCAGGAACTGAACAGGAGCAGGACGTGGGTAGCCGAAATATGGACTCAATACATGAATACTTTTTTCTTTTACGTTTTTTGACTTGAAATTGTAGAATTTTAAACATCAGCTGCCTTTATCATTTATGTAATTGAGTAAGTGCTTCTTGAAGATCACAGTGTTGAGTGTGTTTCATCTGTTTTTCAAAAGGCCCATTCTGAGGACCGCACTTCAAAATCATCGCTTAAAAAGGCCCATTCTGAGGACGGCAGTTCAAAATCATTGCTTATAAAGGCTCCTCCTGAGGACGGCGGTTCAAAATCATCGCTTAAAAAGGCCCCTTCTGAGGACGGCAGTTCAAAATCATCGCTTAAAAAGGCCCATTCTGAGGACGGCAGTTCAAAATCATCGCTTAAAAGGGCCCATTCTGAGGACCGCAGTTCAAAATCATCGCTTAAAAAGGCCCCTTCTGAGGACGGCAGTTCAAAATCATCGCTTAAAAGGGCCCATTCTGAGGACCGCAGTTCAAAATCATCGCTTAAAAAGGCCCCTTCTGAGGACGGCAGTTCAAAATCATCGCTTAAAAGAGCCCATTCTGAGGACCGCAGTTCAAAATCATCGCAGCAACAGGTACTGTTCTGTGTACCTTACCTGACGACCTTAATTTTAGTGTAAGTGTTTCTGGCAGCACATCCCATGTTCGCATCATGTCAAATCTCACCAGTGATCTTATAAGGCAGTTAATTTGATTGTTCATTGAAAAGTTTAGGGTAAAGAAAAAAAAACAAAACTTTATTTTTTTTTGTGTTTGTGTATTCCAAAGGCACTCTGTCTCGACTCCGATAATTCCATTTGCTCTAAAAGTCAGTCGGACACTAAGGAGAGTAAGGCTGCAAAAAGGTTTGTAATTGAGCACACGACCACGGAAAAATGAGATGCCGATCATTTTTCAGGTGCTACTCAATCTAAAAAGACTAACTCTACACTGGAAAAAGTTTGACTCCCGACTGAGATCCCGTTTAAAGTTATGAATTAACAAATCGAACACCTATTGTGAACTTTGCAATATTTGCACGATTCTGTTTTATTTACAGTACTTAATAATCTCTGCGGAACCCTTATTTCTCTTCCAGCCAAGTTGACTCTAAGCGTGACTCTTCTGGTAAAGGCATCCTCACACCGAAGTTGAATCAGTCCGCTGATGAACAGAAGAAGAAGGAGAATGGGGAGCTAATCAAAAAATCAAAAGTGGGTGGCTCCTGAATCGGGTAACAAGTGTCAAACTTATAAATGGAAATGAATATTTCCTGACTTTTAGATAAAGTCTGCACATACAGTGTCCGAGACCAGTGGTTCTCAGACTTTTTATACCAAGTACCAGCTCAAAAACTAGATAGGGGTCGTGCTCTCCAAATACCACCATCAAAACACACATTAAAGTGTTGGAGTAGCATAGGAAGCCTAAATGGCCATCAAAAAATGAGATGCGGGTTTTATTCCTAAAGAGTGCATTTAATAATAATATAAGCGCGGCAAACATGGTCTTGGTCTTCTGCGATCTCTGTGACAATTACAGTACTTTCGTTTTATTGGAGTGTGCTGGTCAAGCAGAGCGGTTCCAACTTTCCAAAGATAGAAAGTGGGTTCGTTGTGACCTGAATCCCGATGTTTTGTTCTTTTATGTGTCTTAAAGATTCCGGGAGAGTTTTTGGACTCGGGCAATTCTTCTTCTTCTGTCATTCATTCAGAGATGGATGTAAAAGGAGAGGATGATGAGACAGACTATTCCAAGAGGGATGTTTTGTTGTTCTCCTTTACAATGCTTTTGGAAAATGATGACTGGTCACGTAGCTATATTAAAAAAAAAAAAAAAGACTCCAAATCTCTTATTATTATTATTACCTCACTCATCTTACTTTTAACTTCTGCCTGCAGCCAAGATGAATCAGGACATGAACCGGATGAACCTGATGGTATTGAGGGTTCAGAAGCCAAACATAAAGAGGAGGAAGAAGACTCGACTAAAACAGTTAGTGCCCGATGATTCAGTATCCAGTAAAGTTTAGAATAGTATAAGAATTCATTTTGCAGACAGCTGCTGAGTCATATAAAATAAATATATTAACAATAATAATAATAATAATAATAATAATAATAACAATAATGAGTACATGTGTAATCTCGACCACAACTTCTTGAAGTCATTTGCCAAGTTCACATTTCACTTCTACCAGTAAGATATGCATTAACCAAATAAAAATTCACGCATCTTTGGTTGGTCAAGCCCATTTCAGTTGTGCGTGCATGCGTGTGTGCGTGCGTGCGCACGTGCCTTAGGACTCAAGAGACAGCAGCGAGGAAACAGGGGAGATGATTCAGTCAGAAAAGTTCAAAAAGGCCCATTCTCAAGATCAAAAGAAAGAATCAACACAGAAAAGGGTACTTTTGCACTGTGCAGTTTGTTTGGGCTTTAAACTGACTGTGGTGATTGTGTGAGGTTCATTGTGATCAGTGACACCCATGATCTATCCAGAGAGAATTGTTGATGGACAAGTAATTATTATTATTTTTTTTGTACCCTGATCTTCGGATAAGGCATACTGTCCCTGTCAGTTGAACAGGGATAACAAAAAGGACAAGAAGAAGGCCGAGTCTGCCAAGTGGTTTGTTGTTCTAACCTACAACATTAACTAATCACTCCTCGTTCAAAATTGCTGAATATTTTATTGACTCTTCTTACCTCCCTGCAGCAAAGTTCAGTTAGGTCAGAAATCCTCTTTTAAAGATGTCCAAGATCACAAATCCAACGTGCATACAAATGCTGTTGGGAGCTCAGAAGCCAAAGTGGTCAAGGAGGAAGAGGAGCTTATCTTATCGTCTGAAGCAAGTAGTTGTTTGAAGAGTGTCATTTGCATCAATATTGTGCAAATGATTTGCACAATATTGATATGCAGTCAAGCTCAAGAACTATCACAATGAAAAAAACTGAAACCCAAATCTCATCCCCTACTAAAACCATTCAGTACAATCGCCATGATCTTTTAGTCTGTTTTCACTTTGCACCCTATGTGCAGTGCGTCTGGCCTTCTCATGCGTCTTTGAATGCCACCGCACTTTGTGTACGTCTCTTGGGGGTTAACGTTATTGTTAATCGACGTTTTGATTTAGTAATTTTATGCCCTATAGCTATCTGGGAAGTTGGACTCTGCCAACTCTGACAGTTTTGTGGCGATGGATAGCAAAGGGAAGGAGGGGGAGGAGGAGACGGAGGAAACTAAGAGGTAGGGTGTTTTTTCCTCTTCATAGAAAACAATGACTAGAATTACTTCTAGGGTCCAAAAGGTCAAAGCCTCATTCCATCCTACAATTTTAAAATATTGTACATGTGAATTTGTTCTTCTGAAGTCGAATTGTGGCCAATGGACTTTCTGAGCCCTTTTTTTTTTCCATTTTGTTTTGTAATTGAAACTGCTCTGTGCAGCCAAGATGAATCAGGGAACGAGTCCGTTGGCGAAGACGTCCACAGCTGTCCAGTGGATAAGGTAAATGAACACATCCAGAGCATTGCTGTTTCTCACTCAGGAGCTGAACAGTCCAAGAAACAAGAGAGGCCTGCCAAAACAACTGGGGACAAGACCCATGTTTCAGACCTGAGCACTGAATCATCAATGCAACGGGTATTTGCACTGTGACCCAATAATGCCCTACTCATCGGCCCTCATTTCAATGCATACTCAAATCTTGTTTCTTTAACTTCAAGCGAAATTCAACTTTATATCAAACAATGTTTTTATGCTTTTTAAAAAACATTTTTTTGTATCCTGAAGTTTGTGGACTGCAGCGTTTGTGTGTGCCGTGACAGTAAGCACGTTATGCAAGTCAAAGACGGGGTGGATAATTCGAAGAGCGAGGCTTCCAAGAGGTTTGTAATTCTTATGCTATTCAGGAAACTGAGACTACGATTAGAACAGAACTATTTCTCATGGTCCAATACCAGACTTGCGCTACAGCCTGAATGAGTTATTTTTTCCAAATCTTTCCGAGTGAGTTAATTCCCCTTTTGAAGATTGTAACTTGAATGATTTTATGTAACTAAAATAATCTGCTGTTGAATTCTCTTATTTTCTCTGTCCCTCCTGCAGCATGAAGGCTGCTGGGCACTCAGAAGCCAAACCAGACGATGAGCCAAGTAAAACACCGACAGTGAGTGGTTGTCATTGACAACATGGAGACTTACTGGACTGCAAAAATGAGTTTTGCAGATCATGCACTTAATGATCCATAATCAAGAGGAAATACCGCTACTAAAAATATACTGACAAAACTTAGTAAGGTCATGTGAGGTCTACTCTTCTCTTGCTCTGCCTCACTTTTGATATTGATGAAGACAAAAACGTATCTGAAATGAAGATAGTTTCATATCTTTGGCTATGTTAATAGCGCGATTCAATGCAATTTGATAAAGTGAGAAATTTGAAAATAAATTTCGTGCAGTGGCTATTGAGAGACTGTATACTTCAGGTGGGTATCATCCGCGTACAGACTGCTTTAGGTTATTTGGTTCTTGTTTTGATTTTCTTTTTTCTTTTTTCCTTTTTTTAAGTGGATGCATTTGGATGTCATGTATGTGTTTTTGCCTACGTTTGTACTTGTACTTTAGGACTTTGCAGTGGCCATCAGGGATGGAGATCCAGCAGAGGAGATAACTGAGCTTGAAATCCAGACTGAGGACCAGAGTCCCGAATCACCACGGCAGGAGGTAGACTCTAAACAGTGACTGCCATCTGTATTTTGAGAGACTATCTTTGTCGAAGCATGGCAGCACATAATCTCATAGGTTCTTGCTTTTGAGATTGGTCAAATCTCGCTAATTGTCAAAGTATTTTGTTCTTGTGTGTTCTTAAGACTTCAGACCGGATTTTGGACATCAGTGATTCAGTTTTTGAGACAGAGACCAGTAGTAAGAGGTTTGTTTTTCCAAATTCATTCATGAAAACAAAAGATTATTATCCTAAAGGCACTGAATCGATCACATCAGGACTGTTGTCTGGTTGTCTAAGAACATATTTTTTTTGGACTGTGATGTCCCCATTGGAGACAACGGGGGCTTTCCATGTTGGGGTTTATAGAAAACACCCCCACACTGACCAAAACTTGATTCACACCACTCACTGGAACAAGGCCAATGTAGTTTAGGACGCAAAGAGTGGCGAGCGCAACAACATTGTAATTCCGTATGAATCAGGTCTCTCTGAAAAAGAAGGATTATTAACCGGCACAACTAACTGCCCGCAGACAGCTGGGATAGGCTCCAGCATGCCTGCGACTTTTGTGAGTTTTTTTGCATCCAAAAGAGGAACACCATTTGTGGTTGGGATGTGCGTCTAACATTGAGGATAAAAATGTCGGATTTCCACACCAAGACTGACGAGAGCTGTCCTTTCTAGCCTATGTGAATGAACTGATGAAGCCTGTTTAGATGAGAGGCAGAACATCAAGGACAACCAGAACAGTCCCATTGCAATTGATTTACTCCTCAGAAAGAAATAACATGGGAACTGCTATCATCCTAAATGAGAAATTGAAATACAATTTCTCTGTTTTTTTTAAATTTTTTCTTAATCAACCTCTGTTGAATTAAATCATGTCTTCCCCATAGCCTAGACGAATCGGGGAACGACTCCTCTGTTGAAGATGTCAACAGTGACATAGTGGCTCAGGAGTTTCAGAACAGCCAGCGCAGTGATACTGATGTGCGCTCGCAAGGCAAACACAAAGAAGAGTTTCCCAAAGCTACTGCGGTAAGTGGATTTTAGAACATATAAACATGTTAAACTGTCTTCATGTACGTACAGTGTTATGTTGAAGATGATGTCATTGTCACCAGACAGGAGGCTGTATTTTATCACCCTTTATTTTATTTTAAGGAAAAGTGCAAACAGTTTTAGATGAGTTTTTTTGTGACAAACTGGTGGCCACAGCAATCACGTATAAGGCCACCGTGGACGTAACAGGATCGGTGATACACAACGTGGGGAACCGGATAGGCAAACGTAACAGGCCGTGATTGAAACTCTAATTTGATGGATTTTTTTGGGGGGAGACCAGATTTTGTACAGCTGATTTCACAAAAACTTTCCCCATACAGTCTTTTTTTTCCAACACAAAAAAATTGATCACGTCATCTGATTTAAAAATTTTTGGGTGTCTCGTAGACAGGCTGAAGTTTAGCCAACAGTTAAATCATGTAGAAAATGTAGTCCATATAGGAAGGAGCGAGTGCTAACCCCCATTGCAATATCAGAAAACACAAAACTTTAAATATAAAATGTGTCCAAGAGTCTTACAAGGTACTTATTTTTCAATCACCTTGACGACAGGTAGCAAAAGAGCTATTGTTGAGGGAAAAAAGGATGCATCCCCGCCAGGAGAACCTGAGACAGTATGAGGAAGAGGGAAAACAGTTGTGGAGAGGAAAGGAAGACCTAACAAGCAAGGAAAAAATGCAAAAGAGAAGACTGCTCTCTGAGGAGAAACTGGGCAGAGAGGCAGAGGATTGGCCAGAGCACCTATTGAGGGGGAAGCAAAATAGAATGATTTTCTATGAGAAACTGAGGACAGTTGAAGAGGAGGAGGCTGAGCGTTTTGAGAGGGAGAAGCAAAAGAGAATATTTCTGTATGAGGAGAAACTTAGGAGAGAGGAAGCGGAGGAGGCAAAGCAATTATTGAGGGAGAAGGAGAAAAGAATAAAGCTCCCACAGGAACTGCTGAAAAAGAAGGAAGAGGAGGCAATGGAGCTGTTGGAAAGAGAGTTGGAGACAAATTTACATCTACGCAAGGAGAAGCTCTGTTTGGATATGGCTCATTCAAAAAGGCCAAAAGAGAGTAGCACGCTCTTTTGCCAGAAGGAGCTGAAGAGAGAGGAAAGGGGGCCAATGGGGCAGTTGAAAAGGGAAAACGAGAAGATACTGTGTCAGCACCCGGACCAGATAAGCGAAAAGGAGGAGAAGGAAATGGAGCAATTGAGGAATGAGAAGGAGATGCGAATTAGGAGACAAAAGGAGGCGATACGAAGAGAGGAAGAGAAGGAGGCACTGCAGTTAATGAAGGACAAGGAGACAAGAATACGGCGTCACCAGGAAGCACTAGAAAAGAAGGAAGAAGAGGAGATGGCGCGACTAGAAATTGAGATGAAGAAAAGAACACATCTCCACAAGGAGAAACTCCTTACGGATTTCAATCGCTTACAGAATCAAAAAGAGTTAAGCACACACTTTGGCCAAGAGATGAGAAACAAAGAGGAGGAAGCAGAGCAGGTAAAATGGCAAAAGGAGATGAAAATGCATCCCTGCCAGGAGGAAAACATGAGGCATGATCACGAGATATGGATTTGTCGACAAAAGGAGGAGCTGATGAAAGAGGAAAAGGAGGAGGTGGCGCGATTGAAGAGGGAGAAAGAGACAAGAATCTGCAGACAAAGGGTAGAGCTGAGGAGAGAGGAAGAGGAAGAAGTGGAGCAATTGAAGCGTGAGAAGGAAATGAGACTTTATGCCCGCCTGGAAGAACTCAGGAAAGGGGAGGAGGAGGAAGAGGAATGGTTAAAGAAGGAAATGGACATGAGAAAATGTTCCTTCCAGGAGAAGCTGAATAGAGCACAAAGGGAGGCAGAGCAGTTAATGAGGGAAAAGCAGATGGAAATGCAGTTCTGCCTCGAAGTGCTTAGGAAAGAGGAGGAGGAGGAAGCAGAGCAGCTGAGGAGGGAGAAGGAGATAAGAATATGCCAACAAAAGGAGAAGTTCATGAAAGAGGAACAGGAGCAGGTCGCACAATTGAAGAAGGAGACTGAGAAAAAAATTCGTCGCTGCCTCGACGAGCTGAGCAGGGTGGAAGAAGAGGAAGCAAGGCAATTGAAGCGGGAGAAGGAGATGAGAATGCAGGTCTACCAGGAGAAGCTCCAGAGAGAGGAGGAGGACGAGGCACAGATTTTGAAGAGGGAGAAGGGAGTTAGATTCTCTGTAAGCCACGAGCAACAGTTGAGAGAAGAGGAGGAGGAGGAGGAAAAGTTGAAAGAGTACTTTGAAACTCGCAATCGTCTCCTCGAAGAGGAGCTTCGCAGGGACAAAGAAAAGGCTGAGCAAATGAAAAGGGAAAAGGCAAAGATACACTTACATCAACAAGAGGAACTAAAAAGACTTGAAGCGGAAAAAGAGCAATTGGCCAGAGAGAAATGGACACGACTGCACCATGAGGATCTGAGGAGAGAAGAAGAGGAGAATGACCAGTTCATGAGGGAAAAGAATTTGAGAAAATCTCTCCTAATGGACCAACTTAGCAGAGAGGAAGAGGAGGAGGTCGCACGGCTAAGGAGGGGCAAAGAGATGCGAATGAGGCACTATCAAGAGGTGCTGATGAGAGAGGAAGAGGATGAGTTAGAATCTCTCAAGAGAAAACAAAAGACAAGAATGTGTCTTCATCAGGAGGAGCTTTTGAAAAGAGAGAAGGAGGCGAGAGCGTACCAGCGAAAGAATGAGCTGAAGAGAGAGGAAGAGGATGAGTTAGAATCTCTCAAGAGAAAACAAAAGACAAGAATGTGTCTTCATCAGGAGGAGCTTTTGAAAAGAGAGAAGGAGGCGAGAGCGTACCAGCGAAAGAATGAGCTGAAGAGAGAGGAAGAGGATGAGTTAGAATCTCTCAAGAGAAAACAAAAGACAAGAATGTGTCTTCATCAGGAGGAGCTTTTGAAAAGAGAGAAGGAGGCGAGAGCGTACCAGCGAAAGAATGAGCTGAAGAGAGAGGAAGAGGATGAGTTAGAATCTCTCAAGAGAAAACAAAAGACAAGAATGTGTCTTCATCAGGAGGAGCTTTTGAAAAGAGAGAAGGAGGCGAGAGCGTACCAGCGAAAGAATGAGCTGAAGAGAGAGGAAGAGGATGAGTTAGAATCTCTCAAGAGAAAACAAAAGACAAGAATGTGTCTTCATCAGGAGGAGCTTTTGAAAAGAGAGAAGGAGGCGAGAGCGTACCAGCGAAAGAATGAGCTGAAGAGAGAGGAAGAGGATGAGTTAGAATCTCTCAAGAGAAAACAAAAGACAAGAATGTGTCTTCATCAGGAGGTGCTTAGAAGAGAAGAAGAAAAAGAAGTGGACCAGTTCGAGAGGGAAAGACAGATAAGAATGCATTTATGCCCAGAAGATCTGAGAGGAGAAAAAGTGAATGAGTTGGAGAAATTAAGGAGGGAAAAGGCAATGAGAACAACACATCACCTCCAGAAGGGACCGCAGGAAGAGGAAAGGGAAAATGCAGAGAGAAAAAATCTTCAGTTTAGCCGCGAGGGGAAGGAGGCAGAGCGGTCAAAGGGGCAGATGCAGCTCCACCTGGGGCAGCAGTGGAGGAAAGAGGATAAGGCCGAACAAATTCAGAGAGAGAAAGCGAAATCATGGCCTCGCAGGAAGGAGCACAGCACAAGGAAAGACGTGAAAGGGTTATTTAGCAGGGAAACGGAGACACAAACAATGCTGTGTGAAAATGAACTGAGACGTGGCGATGTGGAGGGAGAGCGCTTGAAGAGGAAGAGCATGACAATCTCAAACCTCCCAGAGTGGCTAAGAAAAGAGGATGAGGCAGACAAATTGAAGAGAGAGACAAAATTGTGGCTTCGCCCGAAAGGGCATGGCACAGAAGAAGAAGCAGGGGGGCAGTTTATTAAGGACACGAGGAAAAAAAAGCTGCTTTATGACGAGGAACCGAGAAGTGAGCATCAGGGTGTAGTGGGCTTGAAGAGGGAGATGAGAATGTCGTTTCGAGAAGAGGTGCCAAGTAGAGAACAGGATGAGTCAGAAAAATGGAATGCAGAGAAGACAAAATCGTGGCCTCACAAGGAGCACAGCATAAAGAAAGAAGCGAAAGGGCCGTTTGTGAGGGAAATGGAGACACAAACGATGGATCATGAAGAGCAACTGCAAAGTGAGGGTGAGGAGGTAGATTGGTCAGATCAGGAAAAGATGAAAATGTGGCATCTCAAGGACGCGCTGAGAAGAGAAGAGGATGAGGCAGAAAATTCGGAGAGAGAGATGACACAATCATGGCTCAGCCCGCAGTGTAGCACAGAGGAAGAATCGCCAGGGCAGTTTAAGAGCGTAATGGAGGCAAGAAAAGTGCTCCATGGAGGGGAGAGAGAGATGACACAATCATGGCCAAGCCAGGAGTGTAGCACAGAGGAAGAAGCGGAAGGGCAATTTTCAAGGGGAATGGAGGCAAGAAAAATGCTCTTCGGAGAGGAGAGAGAGATGACGCAATCATGGCCAAGCCAGGAGTGGAGCACAGAGGAAGAAGCGGAAGGGCCATTTTCCAGGGTAAGGGAGGCAAGAAAAATGCTCTATGGACAGGAACTAAGAAGTGATGATAAGATAGAAGGGTTCTTGAAGCGAGAGAGGAGAATGTCTCTCGACCAGGAGGAGATGAGGAGAGAACAGAATGAGCTTGGAAAATTGGAGGGATGGAAGACAAAATCATGGCCTCGCAGGAAGGAGCACGGCAAAAGAGAAGAAGCAAAAGGGCTGTTCACGAGGGAACTGGACATGCAAGCAATTCTCACCAAAAAGGAACTGAAAAGTAAGGACGATGAGGTAGAACACCTGGAGGAGCTGATGAGCAAAGAGCAGAGGGCAAAGCAATTCGAGAGAGAGAAGGCGAAATCATGGCCTCGCCGGAAGGAGCACGGCAAAAGAGAAGAAGCAAAAGGGCTATTCATGAGGGAAACGGAGACACCAGCAATGCTCCGTGACGATAAACTGAGACCTGAGGATAAGGAGGTAGACCGCTTAAAGGGGGAGAAGACCCTAACGTTGGTGCGCAAGGAGGAGCTGAGGAGAAAAGAGGATGAGGCAGAAAAATTGGAGCAAGAGAAGACAAAAGGCAAAGAGGAAAAGGTAAAAGGGCCGTTTATAAGGCAAATGGAGACACAAACAATGCTCCGTAAAGATCAACCGGGAAGAGAGGATGAGCGGTTCAAGGCGCAGAGGCAGCTCCACCTGGAGGAGCTGATGAGCAAAGAGCAGAGGGCAAAGCAATTCGAGAGAGAGAAGGCGAAATCATGGCCTCGCAGGAAGGAGCAAAGCACAAAGAAATACCTAACAGGACTATTCATGAGGGAAATGGAGACACCAGCAATGCTCCGGGACGATAAACTGAGACGTGAGGATGAGGACGGAGGCTGGTTGAGGCTGGGGATGAGAACGTCGCTCAGCGAAGATTTGAGGAGAGACGAGGATGAGGCATACGGTTTGGAGAGAGAGAGGACAAAATCATGGATTTGCCAGAAGCCATTAAGGAAAACGGAGTCCCAAAAAATGCTCCATGAAGATGAAGTGAGGGATGAGGAAGGGGACATGTTGGGCTCCTCGGGAGATGACGAATACACAAGAGAGCGTCCCAGAGAGCCAAGGAGTGAAGATAACGAAGATGACGAAGATGACGAAAAGGTGGATTTTTTAAAAAGACAGAGATGAATACACAAGAGAACGTCCCAGAGTGAAGGATCGAACATGTACCCAGCGGGAGGGCTCGAGGGGAAGGGCGGAGCAGCTACAAGGGGTCATGTGGGAAAAGGAAAAACGTCTGCAACAGGAGCCAAGGAGTGAAGATAACGACGATGACGAAAAGGTGGATTTTTTAAAAAGACAGAGAAGAATTAGCCTTTTCGATGAAGAACTGAGGAGAGAGGAAGAAGAGGAAGTGGAGCAGTTGCAAAGAGAAAGGGATAAGAGGATGCGCAAGTATGAGGAGAAGCTCAGACGAGACGAAGAAATTGAGGCAGACCGTTTAAAGAGGGCAAAGGAGCAGAGAATACGTCGCCTCCAGGCAGAACTGAAGGTCGAGGAAGAGGATGAGGCGGAGAGCTTAAAGAGGGACAAGGAGAATCGAATGAGGCTCCTCCGTGAGGAGATGCAGAAAGAGGAAGAGGAGGAACGATTCAAGTGGGAGAATGAGAGAAGAACTCGGGTCCGCCAAGAAGAGCAGAGCAAGCATGAAGGGGAGGAGCAGTTTAAGAAGGTTGAGGGGAAAAGAAAGAGTGTTTACTTCGAGAACCTGAGGAAAGAGGAAACGGAGAAGAGTGCACAGGAAACAACACGGAAGGGAAAAGACAAGACAATCGGTCACCTCCAGGAGGATCTTATGCGAGAAGCCGAACTTCAGGTTCAGAGGGATAAGGAAAGGAGAACACCGCAGAGCCAGGAAACGTCGAGGAAAGCGAAAGATGAGGAGGTTGAGCGCTTCCAAAGGGAAAAGGGGAAGACAGTGCATTACTCTCAAGAGGTATTGAAACGAGCGGAAGATGAGGAAGCAGAACAGTTGAAGACTGAAAATGAAAATCGAATGGGTCGTCTCCAGGATGAGCTAAAGAGAGAAACGGAGGAGTTGATTGACAAATTGAAGGCCGAGAAGCAGAAGAGAATGCGGCTCCGACAAATAGACATCTGGGGAGAAGAGGAAGAGAGGAAACTGAAGACCGAGTACAAGGAAAGGCTCCGGTAGGATAATCATGTTTGTTTTACTTTTAATCATCTGCATAAGGCAATCGGTATATCAGCAAATGTAAGTTCAAGCCTTCTTGCGTTATGCTAAACCCGCTGACATTCTGATGTTTGAACAATTGAACTTGAGTGCCTAATTAATCTTGTCTCTTATCACCTCTTGAGGGCTTTGCGGCAGTATCTCCTGGTCAAGAGGAGAGATGAGGAGACCCTGTTGAACAGAATGTTTGAGGAGAAGGAGAGATTAACAGAATCAGCCTGGATGGAGAGAAATGACGAACAATTTCAACTCAGGTTTGACACACATTTTTACACAAAACAGTGCAAAGGGACAGTTGTTGGAAGGTGGAGAAAACGGATGACCATTCTGACGGACTTGGATCAGTGTTGGGAAAATTACTTTTAAAAAAGTAATATGCTGTATATGCAGTGGTTTAGGCATTATGTTGACAAGTTAAAAAAAACGGCATATGGCATAATTCATACATGGCAATGGCGAGTGATGAAAAAAGCGGAAGGGGCGTGGCCTGGACGGGGGCGTGGCCTGGACGGGGGCGTGGTTACTTACAAAAGTGGCACTAAGCATGCTGAAGATGAAGTGTATTAAATTTACACAGTTTGAAAATTGAACAGAAAAAAATCCCAAGATCGCCACTATTCTTTCAAGTGAAAATTTGTGCAGTTTTGCCTATGCATTCCTGGTGAGCACCAACATGTAACTCCAAATTTGCTGCTCAAAATCAAAACTAAAAAAGCAAACACATTCCCTGCCATATTTATGTTCACAAGTTAAAAAAAACGGCATATGGCATAATTGTTATTGTATCGTCCTTTGTGGCAATAAAAATATTTTGGGAAAAAAGTATGAATAGGTATTTTACCCCTTAAGAATTATTTGCAGTTCTCACCACTCTGTTTAAGATCGTCGAGCAAATGTAATTATAAGACAAAGATAACCCAAGTAAACATAACATACAGTTTGTAAATGGTGTTCATATTAAGCGGGGGAAAAAAAATTGTTCAGTTACCTGGCTTTGTGTGAAAAGGTATTTGCCCCCCCCATGGCAAATCATGACTTAACTGTGGTTCATCACGTTTTTGGAAAGATGAGTTCATTTTTACTGACCACACCCAAGCCTGATAACCTCCAGATGTCCACCAAATGAGGTGCCTCCTGGATGCCTCCATGGTGACGTCCAAGAACACTTTTGTGGTAACTTGTGGCATGCGGCTGTGTGTTCTTTGTGTTCAGTTGCTTTCCACGTGCTTTAGCACTTAAACAACGGTTCAATCATTGCATGGAGGTTGGTTTCACTAATCCTGACAGCAGTGGCAAAAGTCACTTCGGGTTTCCAAAGGATAAAGAAATACTGTACATGACCGATAGATCGGAAAGTCGATCGGGCAACGTTGTTGACATCATGTGTATTTAGTGATAAAATAAAAATACATGGTGTGTGTGTGTGTGTGTGTGTGTGTGCGTGTGCGTGTGCGTGTGTGTGTGTGTGTGTGCGCTCGCATGGCACCAGGCAGGACCGGGAAGCTGCCATAAGAGCGCTTTGCCTTGCGCTTGAAGAAGAACGGGAAGCCGAACATGATCGGCTGAAGACTCAAAGGAGGCAATTCTTTGAGCGCCTCAAGGCGGAATCAGAAGAGGAGCTCGATACACTGCGAGCAAGACTCCAGAAAGGCAGGGAAGAGAAGGTGAAGTTTTCAACACCAGAGGTAGCTGGTGATGACTTTTATCTCTTTGTGTTACAAACGTCCGATGGTGTATTGTCTACCTTGCCACTTACCCTCTACGTTGCAGCGAAATAATAAAGTTGTTTACTGCTTGTATCGATAAAGACTATCAATCAACCCTTTAGCCTAGTTAATCTTTTAAATGATTTTGAAATGTACTCTTGAGTAAGCCAAGCTGCATCCTGAATGAAAATCTGTCTCAGCAGGCACATGAGAAGAGTTTTGATCCGGGCTTCTACAACACTTTTTACACACTGAATGGGGCAGGTAATATTGTTCTGATGACACACTTATTACTGGCTGCACACAATAATAACTAACTAAGTACTGTTTCATTTTTCATATCCATAGTTCCGGACCCCAAAAATGAGATATTTGGTGCTTTCAGACCACCTCCCCAGTGGAACAACACCACACATTTCTCAGCGTACACACCGACTCTCGCAGCGCCTCGTCCCACGAATACCACACCTACCTACACAGCCACGCATCCCTCACTGAGTACTCCAGAGTCACTGCTCTGTCATCCAAGAGCAACAGTGCCTGTGGACCCATTCGTCACCACGTCCTTGGGAGAAACGTACCTAGCGAATACTCCTATTGGGTACTGTGATCAGCTGAGCTTAAATACATTCAATGAAATCACGGTTTATCGTTTCCAAAGACAAAATGCCCAATGGAGTCCTCCACTGCCCATGTGAATACATTTGATGCGTTCAAAAATAAAGAGTTGATGCAGTGTGTACATTTTCATCTACAAAACTCTGTTGCTGTAGAATATCAGTGTGATGAGGCCACAAATACCAAATAAATCCAGTTGCAACCTTGTTAGCACACCGTGGTCTACATTTGGGATATTAAAGATCCATTCATCAAGCTTAGTCAGGTCATACAGTATGTGACATCAAATAAATTCTCGAATAAAAAAAAAAAAAACATGATCCCTGTCATGAAACTAGTGTGCGCATGTTGTGTCTGTGTGTGGGTTTCTCAGAATAAACCAATTACAGTCTAAATGAATCCAAACAGGAGAAATAATCAAATGAGTACACTTTAGTAAGCAACATTTACACAGTTAACATACCACTTTCTGAAGGCTCGTATTCTGTCACAACACACACCACTTCCGGTGCTTAGTTACTCATTGATATGCCCAAACATCACATCAAAAATTCGAATAAAACATTCCGGTGCAGCAAGTAAGTATTCACATTGTCCGTGGGACAAGGTGCCTGGATGCTACTGAAGTGTGTATTCTGCCCAACACTACCCTTAATCCAATTTAGCCTAGCCTAGTTTACTCCTGACCAAGGATATTCAGAACGGCAGCTATACATTTAATGCAAAAGGACACGAACGCAGTAGACAGACCACACAATGACCCTTGAATTTCACCCTGAAGACTAGTGAGCCAGTGGTTAGCGCGTCGACCTCATAGTGCAGAGGTACCGGGTTCAATTCCAGCTCCGGCCTCCCTGTGTATAGTTTGCATGTTCTCCGCGGGCCTGCATGGGTTTTCACCCGGTGAAAAACAAAACATGCATGGCAAAGACATGCATGGCAGGCTGATTGAACACTCAAAATTGTCCCTAAGTGTGAGTGGGAGTGCGGATGGTTGTTTGTCTGTGTGCCCTGCGATTGACTGGGAACTGGTTCAGAGTGTCCCCTGCCGACTGCCCGAAGACAGCTGGGATAGGCTCCAGCACCCCCACCGCGACCCTTGTGAGGATAAAGCGGTTCAGAAAATGGATTGATGGATAAAAAGAAAGTAAAACTCATTGAACAGAATATATCATAAACGCTTTTCAGATAGCCAATTATTACCCGATTACTGTATTAAACACAAGGGAAATATAAATAATCTCTATGCTAATTTTTACATGTGTATACATGGTTTTTGCTCGTATGTGTCTTTTTTTTTGCTGCAAGCATAATCATCAAAACCATAACATTGCAATTATTCATTCTGTGTGTAGTGAATATATATTACGAATTTCACTTTTTTAAAACCGAACTACTGAAATTATTATTATTATACTTTTGTTAATGCGCTTGAGTAGCTGAACAAATGACAAGGAGACCAATCTGAAGGAGTAACTGGGCGTACAATTAATTAACGTGCGATGCCAGTCGGACAAAACCTTTGCGTTTTACCTCGCCTCACCCTACTTCAAAGAGACATTTCGTGACAAAATTACTTTTGTTACGGCGTCGTCGTGACGAAATTACTTTTGACGTCAGAAAGCTTTCGTTTCCCCAAACGACTCCGACTTTCATCGCCATTTTGCCTGGAATTAGCCCATAATGCTAGCGGCCGCATTAAATGTAAATTGCCTTACCGAGTAGTTTTAAATTGTTTGCAAGCCAATTTATGTCTGGAGCAGCCATGCATGTCACGGGGGTCGTCGGGGATCTCCACGGTGACGAATTTATGTTCTCTGAAAAAGGTACACAGCTGTACTTTCGTCGTACTTCGATCAATTTAATGTCTTTACAGTTCTGAGTTAAATCTTGTCATGTATGTGGTGTACAATATTGTATTTATTTTCCAGCTCTAGTCACAATTGTGTATGGTAATACAATTGCAGCCAATACTGAGGTGGCAAAATTACTTTCTTTGTACTTGAAGTAGAAGTACAGATGCTTGTGTTGGAAATACTGGTAAAGGTACTGATTCAATTCTGCAGCGACTTGAAGTAATTGGAATGACAAATTCTGAACTGTATTTGAGGAAATAGTAAAAAAGATAATCATTTTTATCTGTATATCCGTCTTGATAGTTTGGTATAATGAAAAACAAACTGCACAATGAAAAACAAGGATACTACTAACAGTCTATAACTACTGGTCTAGATGAGTTCAGGTTAAAACATTAACATCCAGAATATTACAGTCGTCACACACCGGTACTCATAACACGCACGTTATTGTTGTGCTTTATTGCTTATACATATGAATGAGTAATAATAAGTTGTGCAGCTCTAATTTCTCTTCTCCACCTCATCAGAGATCAAAGAGTATGCACAGGATGTTGGAATTGATCCAGAAAAAGAGCCAGAGCTTCTCTGTCTTGCCAAGGAGGCCATGTTGAGCCAATTGCCGACAGGATGGTTGAAGCGGTAAGTCACTGTTGATCTGGCCATTTCAGATCATTTCTGTGTGTTTTCTGCATTCCAAAGAATCCAAAAAGTTCAGGCTACCACTGTGTTTATTTTAAAAACAAAAACAAAGATATGACTTAATTTTGTGCCGTAGCTAGGTGTGAATGTATGGACTAAATGATGTTCTCATCTTTGTTTGACATAACTCTTCTCAATTGATACCTGCAGTGAGGATGAGAGCGGGAACATTTGCTATTACAACTGCCAATTAGACACATGCATTTGGGAACATCCCTGCAAAGTGCGCTGTTGTCAGCTAGTGGTTCAAGAGCGGGAGCGCATCCTGCACGCATCTGTTGATGGGAAGTCTGTTGTGAAGAAGAATAAGAAGAAATTAAAAAAGAAACACGAGGAAAGGAAAAGGTTGAAGGAATCCCTCAAAACACAAGGAGTAAGTTGTTACTACCCAACCTAATTGTATAAAATGGAAATACAAATAGAATACAATCACTTGCAAATCATTTTCAGCCGATATTCTGTTGAATACAGACAAGATACTTAATTCAAACTAATGCATTTTTTTTTTGCGTGCAATACATTTACATTTTGAATTTGATGCCTTGATCAACTTGCAAACGTCACATGACCAAACTCAGAAAACAAGTGAGCCGTGATTGTCGTTACCTGAGTCCTGAGCAACTGTGATGTCATTTTCAGTTGACAGCAAGTGGCAAAATGGCCGCCCCCTGAGATAGATTCAAAACGGGTGGGATTTATTGTTTCATTCGTATTTCACAAACGCAATATTAATCTGAATGCTATGTTTAGACTCGTGGCCCTGCATAGAACTTATTATTGTAAAGAAAATGTTGTTGCACTCAGTGGCTTTTCATGCTTGTCTTTAACTATCCAAAAGATGAGGCTTTAAAATGACTTTGTTTCTGTATACACCTTAGGACTCAAGAGAGAGTGATCCAGAACCAACAGAAGATAGTAACACCAGGGCCAGTTCTGGAGACCACGTTTGCGACTCACCAGAGCAACAGGTACGTTCCATGTATACTACATACCTACTCTGCTTTGGTTTTGTTGACCAAATAAAAGCAGAAATGTCACCCTTGAATGTTTACCCATAACCTTTTCATGTTAAACAACTGCACCCTCCCTGGTTTGGTGAAGAATGAGAAGAATAAGAAGGCTGCAACAGCTGAAAGGTTTGTGCTTTGTCATTGTCCCTCGAAACCTGAACATTGCATTTACTGTTTGAACTTCAACAAAATACGGCATTTTGTGTTTGTTAGTTACCTTGAGTGGGCAGCAGCCGGCTTGCAAATCCTTGATGAGCACTCTGATGAAGAATTTAACTGCTCCGAAGAAGGTACAAGGCTATTTAGACCCCACAGAATATACCAAAGAATGTATTTCATAAAATAAGATAAGATAAAATGCCCATGAGAGCACTTGCCAACCGCTGCCTACTCGGCCGCCATCTTGGACTTTCTTAGACCATATAAATACATAAATAAATAAATCATAATAATTTCAGTTGGAGTATTTAAATGGTTGAATATATTCAAGTACACAGTAAGCACAGAGGAGTTTCAAAAGATCAAATACTGTTTATTAACAATGTACAAAATGTACAAAAACTATCAACAATCAGCGTGAGTGCTTAACATGAATTAAAGTTGCACAAACGCTCAGATGCATGCAGTTAGTCAAAAAGAAGGCGGAATTTTATCAACGAATTTTAATACGAACATAGTGCAAATTGTAACTACAGTATGACCAAAGATCTTTTGTAACTGCCAAACTACATATGTTATGATCAGCAATAATAATAATAACCATAATTTGACAGCATATTAACATCCCCACACCCAGCCTAAAAATGTTAATGAAAATAGACCACTGTGGAATTAAATTAGCGTTTTTTTTAAGCTTTCAACCATTGGAGGGTGCGATTACACCAGCACGTTAATTTGTAGCTTGACCAGAACATCGCAAGCTTATTGATGTCCATCCAAAACTAAACATCAAAGTAATTTTAAACAGTGACACACATCTCATGGAGAAACCAACATGACATTTGTTTTTGAATGTCAAAATTTCATTTCAAAATGAATCCTCCTCTTAATGGGAGTTGGAAGATTCTACTTCTATTAATCAATTGCGTCAGAATTGACTTAAACTGGAACTGTGCCAGTTTTCATTTGCTTTGTTTTTCACTGATAAGGCATCAAGGAATATGCTCAGGATCTTGGCATTGATCCAGAGAAAGAACCTGGCCTTGTGTATCTTGCCAAAGAGGCCATGTTTGCAGGACTTCCTCCTGATTGGATTGCTTTGTAAGTAATCAAGCACTTCAAAGTAAATTGAAATAACCTCTTTTTTATCTACAGATTATACAGATTTTAATTTTACTACCGGTATTTTTTGTTTGCCATCCAAAAACTAATCTTCTGGTGAAGCTGTTGGTTTTATTCATGCTTAGGTTCAATCGCAAGCTGAAAGGTGAAATCCTGCTTATCAATACAATCCAAACTGTTGTCATCATTGCTTACGTATGTTATCTATTGTTTATTTAACCAGAACTTTCTGACTGGCTCTCCACAGTTTAGACAAGAGTGGGAATATTTTCTTTCACAACCACCAATCAGCTACATCCTCATGGGATCATCCTTGCGACGTGCACTACCGCAAACTGGCGGCTCGGGAGCGCAAGCGCATACAGGAGGCTGCTCTCTTGGCATCAGAAGGCAAACAGAACATGGAGAAAACAAATAGCGTAAGTGTGAACCCCCACCTCACTAACATGAGTACACGGTGGCATGCCACAGCATTGCTAGCATTACTTAATCGTGACTTATTCATGATGGAGTATTTTCAAGCAACAAATTTTACCGCTTTGATGTGTAGTGTTTAAATCATCTCTGTCCTCTCAAAAACATGTATGTCCATTTTTCCAATTGTTTTTCTTTTTCTTTTAATGGAGTTTCCATGTTTCCGACATCCCATTAATGTAAGAGGATTTCAAAGTACTACATGTGTGCAAATAAGAATTGCAGAGCCCCTGATGCTGATTCAACAGAGGATGTGAGCAAGCCAGAAGTGGCTGACAAGGCCGATTCTAAGAACCACAGCACTGAAATGCCACAGCATCAAGTACATGTGTACTTTATTTGTCTCTCTCTCTCTCTCTCTCTCTCTCTCTCTCTCTCTCTCTCTCTCCCTCTCTCACTCCCTCTCTGTGTGTGTGTGTGTGTGTGTGTGTGTGTGTGTGTGTGTGTGTGTGTGTGTGCGTGTGCGTGTGTGTGTGTGTGTGTGTGTGTTATAGCAC